GTCTGTGATGAGATTTAAACTCGCAACCTTTGGGTTGCTAGACATTCGCGTTGCTGGAACCAACTACAGAATACATTACAATTGGATGTTCTGGTGCCACTCTAGCCTTTGATCATGACTCTCAGTTCCATTACATTACACATAAGTTATTGGAGGAAGACGTCTTCTGTACGGGGGAGTTTTGTAATTGTCATAATGACAACTACAATTAATATTTCAATGTAGGCTACATGTAGCCTAATGAAAAATATAATATACAGTACATTCGGAAAGTATTCAGACCCCTTGACTTTTTCCACATTGTTACGTTAAAGCCTTATTCAAAAATGGAATAAATTGTTTTTTCCCACATCATCTATCTACACTCAATAACCCATAATGACAAAGCAAAAACAGGTTTTTAGAAATTTTTGCAAATTTATTACAAATGCATTTACATAACAATTCAGACCCTTTACTCAGTACTTTGTTGAAGCACCTTTGGCAGCGATTACAGCCTCGATTCTTCTTGGATATGACGCTACAAGCTTGGCACACCTGTATTTTGGGAGTTTCTCCAATTCTTCTCTGCAGATCCTCTCAAGCTATGTCAGGTTGGATGGGGAGCGTCACTGCACAGCTAATTTCAGGTCTCTCCAGAGATGTTCGATCGGGTTCACGTCCGGGCTCTGGCTGGGCCACTCAAGGACATTCAGAGACTTGTCCCGAAGCCACTCCTGCGTTGTCTTAGCTGTGTGCTTAGGGTCGTTGTACTGTTGGAAGGTGAACCTTCGCCCCAGTCTGATGTCCTGAATGCTCTGGAGCAGGTATCATCAAGGATATCTCTGTACTTTGCTCCATTCATCTTTCCCTTGATCCTGACTAATCTCCCAGTCCCTGCCGTTGAAAAACATCCCCACAGCATGATGCTGCCACCACCATGCTTCACCTTAGGGATGGTGCCAGGTTTCCTCCAGACGTGACGCTTGGCATTCAGATTCAGGCCAAAGAGTTCAATCTTGGTTTCATCAGACCAGAGAATCTTGTTTCTCATGCTCTGAGAGTCCTTTAGGTGCCTTTTGGCAAACTCCAAGCGACCTGTCATGTGGCTTTTACTGAGGAATGGCTTCCGTCTGGCCACTCTACCATAAAGGCCTGATTGGTGGAGTGCTGCAGAGATGGTTGTCTTTCTGGAAGGTTCTCACATCTCCACAGAGGAACTCTGGAGCTCTGTCAGAGTGACCCTCTGGTTCTTGGTCACCTCCCTGACCAAGGCCCTTGTCCCCCGATTGCTCAGTTTGGCCGGGCGGCCAGTTCTAGGAAGAGTCTTGGTGGTTCCAAAACTGCATTTAAGAATGATGGAGGCCACTGTGTTCTTGGGAACCTTCAGTGCTGTAGAAATGTTTTGGTACCCTTTTCCAAATCTGTGCCTCGACACAATCCTGTCTCTGATCTCTACAGACAATTCATTCAACCTAATGGCTTGGTTTTTGCTCTGACATGTGGGACCTTATATAGACAGGTGTGTGTGCCTTTCCAAATCATGTCCAATCAATTGAATTTACCACAGGTGGACGCCAATCAAGTTGTAGAAACATCTCAAGGATGATCAATGGAAATGTGATGCACTGGAGCTCAATTTTGAGTCTCATAGTAAAGGGTCTGAATACTTATGTAAATAAGGTATTTCTGTTTTGTATTTTTTATACATTTGCAAAGATTTCTAAAAACCTGTTGTCGCTTTGTCATTATGGGGTATTGTGTGTAGATTTCTAAGCTGACATATGAAATTGTTTTAAGATGGTCCTACTATGGATCATTTATCTATTTGATTTTGTTTTCACATCCAGCAATTAGCAAGAGCTAGCCTGCCTCTCTCCACGAACAGCCTATTAGCCCGATTATAAAAATATATATAAACAAAATATCTCCTATAGCTTTTGAAGCCTATAGCTTTTCCTGAGATTTCGCAAGAAGAGGAATAGAGGAGGCTTGCGTCCGTAGCCTAGTCTATAGCCTATTGCACACGGGAACAGCTGGAAGAGAGGCGCCAGAGTTGTGTAGCCGAAGAAGTTAAATATTAGCTAGATATTAGGCCACTCATTAGCTAAATAGTAGGTCTATATATATTTACCTGTCAAAGTGCAAGAAAAAAAAGTTAACAGATTTTGAAATGGCAGATCTGTGCGTTCCTCCAGGCTGCACTCTGCAGTCCCCGGGCACTCGGGCACGCAAAGCTCCACTATTGATTAGGCCTACGTTTTTAGACAACATTATTCTACCTATAGGCTACCACAACACAGTGCAATGAGGAATGTATTATTGTTATCAAGTGAGTAGGCCTACACAATTATTGACTAGGCTGTAAACTGCAGTGATGTAGGCTAAATTGAATAACCGCTCAAACGTCCTGCATTGAATGCTTCATGCTGATATAACTGCATACAGTCTAGGCCTGATTATGCAACCATTTGGATCACTTATGGGGGTCTATTCTCTACAGTTTACAAGGTCCAGAAAGGTACATTAGCAGGCTACTAATATGGTGTATTTTGATCACACCATAGCGTGCTTTCTTTCTCTCCTTTCAAACTCACAGCCTGTTCTTTCGGTTTCTGTATTTTACATTCAGCAAGCAAGAGCAAGCCGGAATCTCTCCTAGATAGGCTGGTAGTAGAAAGTAAAATGCTTGAAATAAGATAAGTGTACAACAAGCTATTGTAGGCCTATTCTAGCTTTTCCTGGGACTCCAAGAGCTAAAGAGTAATTATTAGGAATAATACTGCAGTGAATAGCATATAGGCATACCCAATGAATTTACACAGATTATGAAATGACAGGCAACCTAGGATACAACTCGTAGGCATACAGATAGTCCAGTCATCCACATGGACTGTTGTCCTCCCCATTTGGTAGCAGCAACTCCTCCAACAACCCGATTTAATCTACTCACTTTTTTCCTTTCTCCTTTCCACTCCAAAATTCAATTGAACTTTTCTAGACTCTCTTCAGTGGACAGAGACTGCAAATATACCCTTAAATTATTGTGAAGTTAACTTTTTCACGAGCTGTGGTCTTTGTGTAATTGGGCAATGCAATGCTTGCTGTTGTTTAATGGTGCTTTCAAGACAATCTGGATGTAAACAAGACCAGATCGTGATGTCAGTGATCTTCAGGTTGGAAAGTCGGAGCTCTAGAAAGATGCCTGAGTTCCCGACTTGGAATTCCAAGTTGTATAACCATTCAAAACAATTCAATTCTCAGTTGTCTTGAACGCACTGAAGTCTGAAGTTCCGAGTTCCCAGTTGTTTTGCTCGCAGCAATAAACCACATTTTCTTTCTACCACTGTTCTTGTAGTGTGCTAGCTCCCTTCTTCATCACTACAAGCCTATTTGATTCGCCAGATACTCTACACACCCACGTTCTGGATATGCCAAGCATAAAGAGGGACTAATCGAACAGTCAATAGAAAGGTGAAAGCGAAATGCCCATGCAGCCAGGCTCAGCGAGGGGAATGAGAGAGAGAGAGAGAGAGAGCAGGGTCATACATCAAAGTTACACAGTCAAATTCAATTAGTAATTTCCAAAATACGGACATTTCATCGATTACAAATTACATGACCCTACCTTGGACTAAATAAAAAAATACTAAACCCTCCCCCTGACTGAAATTTTAAAAGTATGACCCTTCCCCATTTTCCTCCGGGTAACAACTACGTACATTTCGAACGCTCCTTAAGGACCTTATCTTTCATATCAGCAAGAAATAATTTTCAGAAAACAAAAGGTTAAATTGATACACACCTTTATAGGGTTAGGGTTATTGTTCCCACGCGGTCATATCGCCATGTTACAGCATTTGTTTACAGAAAACAGACAGAAGACCGAAGCGACCACCTGTGCTATCTAGCGTTCTCTGAACACCTGTGTGTAAACGTAACTCGGGAAGTGTAGCAGAAGTGTAGTTTCGTCAGATTGGAGGCACCCATAGCAGTATGGATCTCTACTAAACTGCTACAGCAAGTGTATCTTTTATATTTGAAAGATAAGGGCCATATGTTTCGAAATCCGTATCAAAAGCCATGATTATTGATGTTTCTAAATGTTAAAACACGGCTTCGGGATTGTAGTTCACATGAGGCGAAGTTAACTGCTGAGAACTGTAGGGAGAAGGCAGAATGCCACCTAGAGACTGAGAGAGTGCCGCTTGGGCAATTTAAAATATTGATTGAGGACCATCTTACTGAGGAATGTAATTGTTTTTCTTGAATATTTGTTAGTGCTGGGCGATTAACCGAAATTTCGTTATTTTTTGGTTTTTAAACAACTAATTAACCGACATCGGTTCAATTATTTGAATTCCATTTAGTTCTTCTTCTTCAATATTCTACATAGTTTAGGGCAGAAAACACAGTAATTAACTACAATGACCACAATCCATTGCGCGCCTACTTGTCCAGAGACAGAGAGAAGAGAGAAGAACTCGCAATCGAGAGGGATAGAGAGAAGTTGCTTCACGACGTATCTTTACCTGACAATACATGATCTAAGTGATGATTGATAGTTGGTATTCAGCAGTCATAAAAGTATGCCTTATTTACTTTGAAGAAGTACTAAAATAGTGATTTTGTCAGACAGCATAGGCAGCAGCTCTATAGAGATAACATGATGACTTGGAATTAAATAATAAAGTCATCAAATAAAACAAATGTAATATACACAACATTTTATTAAAGTAAAGTAATGTGAATAAATGCTAGTTAATAAGTGATAAGCACTAATGGGCAGTCACCTCCATCATGGGACTTTTAATAGGCCTAGTTGTTTTATTCTGTGTTGTTCCAGCATTCAACCCAGATAATGCATAGTGCATTTAATGTCCCCCAAAAATAATTTTTTTATAATCAAACCGAACCGACCTCAAAAAGCACTAATGGCGCAGCACTAATATTTGTATTGTGCTGTATTTTACTTGTTTTATATTGTATTAGATTTTTGTATTTTGTCTATGACCTTCCAGATCCTCAGTGCCCTCATGCTAATCCAGGCAGCCCTGGCACTCTCCTTCCGCTCACGCCTTTACCACAGGAATTTCTCCACTAACACGGCCCAGCATTCATCTGCCAACCTGGGCAGTCGCTGGCAGCAGGGCCTGGCACAGACCAAGAGGTACTGCAATCTGGAGGTGTTTCACCTCCCTAATTACAGGGTGTGGGCTTTTGGGGTGACTACGGCTATGCTAGGAAACATTGTGCCCTACATTTACCTGGTGAGTCAGCTGTCTAAATATTTACATTTTTATCATTTAGGACAGGATTTAATCTGAGGCGTGTTGTAGAACACTTGACATTTAAAGGTAATTTCCGATTGATCTGACATATGCACGTTTAACTTGAATTCAATCTCTACGAACATGGAAACTTTACCTTTTTGACTCCCGGCCTTACCTTTTGTTAATATTGATAGTTCGACAATACCTGGCCAGTGACTCAGTGTATCCTATTGATGCCTCTTGTCAGATGAGTTTTGTGGAGGAACAGTTTGTGGAGACCCCAGTGAAGGAGTGGGTCCTCCTGGTGTGTATCAGGGTGACCTCTTGCGTAGGCCGCCTGCTGTTTGGCAGGGTGGGAGACCTGCTCCATGGGGCACACAAGATCTACCTGCAGGTAAGCCACATCCAACAGAACATACACTACATTACCAAAAGCATGTGGACACCTGCTCGTCAAACATGTCATTCCAAAATCATGGGCATTAATATGGAGTTGGTACCCCCTTTGCTGCTATAACAGCCTCCACTCTTCTGGGAAGGCTTTCCACTAGATGTTGGAACATTGCCGCGGGGACTTGCTTCCATTCAGCCACAAGAGCATTAGTGAGGTCAGGCACTGATGTTAGGCAATTAGGCCTGGTTCGCAGTCTGCATTCCAATTCATCCCAAAGGTGTTCGATGGGGTTGAGGTCAGGGCTCTGTGCAGGCCAGTCAAGTTCTTCAACACCGATCTCAACAAACCATTTCTGTATAGACCTCACTTTGTGCACCTTGCTTTGTGCACAGGAAAGGGCCTTCCCCAAATTGTTGACACAAAGTTGGAAGCACAGAATCATCTAGAATGTAATTGTATGCTGTAACGTTAAGATTTCTCTTGCCCGAACCATGTTGGCACTATGCATTGGGGCAGGTAGCATTCTTTTGTAAAAACAAACATAATAGGCTATGTCTGGCCCGCAAATTCGTTGTGTTTTTTCAATATGGCCCGTGCTCTGATTGAGTTTGACATGCCTTGACATAGGAAGTACTGTGAACTAGATCAGAGAGGAACACAGTCCTCCTCCGGATGGCACAATGACTGTACACTCTAGTAGTCTGTGGTGTCTGAGGTTGTGCTCAGAACTGAATGTTGAACAGGATTAGAATAAAACAGTGGTGGCCAAACCTCTTTAACCACGTCCTTGTCATCATCCTCCAGGCAGGCTCCTTCATGGTGCTTGGCTTGGCGTCTATGCTGGTCCCTCTGTGTGTCAGGTTTGAAGCACTGGTTGCAGTGTGTCTTCTGCTGGGGCTATGTGACGGATGCGCCATCACCCTCATGGCCCCTGTGACATTTGAACTGGTGGGCCCCCAGAGAGCCTCCCAGGCCATTGGCTACCTGATGGGCCTCATGGCCCTCCCCATGACCGCCGGACCCCCCCTCGCAGGTCTCACCTCCTTTCGGACAGTAATTAAAACGGCCACTAAGCCACTGTGTCATAGTCTCATAGATGCACATTATTCTTGTTTTGATGCATAATTTCAATGTGTTATCCTGTATCCCTTGTGTTACCCTTACGTACAGTTGAAGTCAGAAGTTTACATACACTTAGGTTGCAGTCATTAAAACTCGTTTTTCAACCACTCCACAAAGTTCTTGTTAACAAACTATAGTTTTGGCAAGTCGGTTAGGACATCTACTTTGTGCATGACACAAGTAATTTTTCCAACAATTGTTTACAGACAGATTATTTCACTGTATCACAATTCCAGTGGATCAGAAGTTTACATACAATAAGTTGACTGTTCCTTTAAACAGCTTGGAAAATTCCAGAAAATGATGTCATGGCTTTAGAAGATTCTGATAGGCTAATTGACATCATTTAAGTCAATTGGAGGTGTACCTGTGGATGTATTTCAAGGCCTACCTTCAAACTCAGTGCCTCTTTGCTTGACATCATGGGAAAATCAAAAGAAATCAGAAAATTGTAGACCTCCACAAGTCTGGTTCATCCTTGGGAGCAATTTCCAAACGCCTGAAGGTACCACGTTCATCTGTACAAACAATACTACTGTCACACCCTGGCTCTGGGGACTCTATATGTTGAGCCAGGGTGTGTAGATTCTATGTGTTTTGTGTTCTATGTTAATTATTCTAGTTGTTCTATTTCTATGTTGGCCAGAGTGGTTCTCAATCAGAGGCAACGAGTGTCAGCTGTTGCTGGTTGTCTCTGATTGGGAACCACATTTAAACAGGCTGGTTTCCCACAGTAGTTGTGGGATCTTGTTCCGTGTTGGTTGTATTTTGTAGCCAAGGACTTCACGTGTCGTTATCGTTTGTTGTTTTGTTCTTGTTATCACTATTGATAATAAAGTATGTTCGCTCATCACGCTGCGACTTGGTCCTCCTCCTTCGACGATCGTGACAAGTACGCAAGTATAAACACCATGGGACCACGCAGCCGTCATACCACTCAGGAAGGAGATGCCACTCAGGAAGGAGATGAACGTACTTTGGTGCGAAATGTGCAAATCAATCCCAGAGGAACAGCAAAGGACCTTGTGAAGATGCTGGAGGAAACAGGTACAAAAGTATCTATATCCACAGTAAAACGAGTCCTATATCGACAAAACCTGAAAGGCTGCTCAGCAAGGAAGAAGCCACTGCTCCAAAACCGCCATAAAAAAGCCAGACTACGGTTTGCAACTGCACATGGGGACAAAGATCGTACTTTTTGGAGAAATGTCCTCTGGTCTGTTTGGCCATAATGACCATCATTATGTTTGGAGGAAAAAGGGGGATGCTTGCAAGCCGAAGAACACCATCCCAACCGTGAAGCACGGGGGTGGCAGCATCATGCTGTGGGGGTGCTTTGCTGCAGGAGAGACTGGTGCACTTCACAAAATAGATTGCATCATGAGGAAGGAAAATTATGTGGATATATTGAAGCAACATCTCAAGACATCAGTCAGGAAGTTAAAGCAAATGGGTCTTCCAAATGGACAATGACCCCAAGCATACTTCCAAAGTTGTGGCAAAATGGCTTAAGGACAACAAAGTCAAGGTATTGGAGTGGCCATCACAAAGCCCTGACCTCAATCCTATAGAACATTTGTGGGCAGAACTGAAAAAGCGTGTGCGAGCAAGGAGGCCTACAAACCTGACTCAGTTACACTAGCTCTGTCAGGAGGAATGGGCCAAAATTCCCCCAACTTATTGTGGGAAGCTTGTGGAAGGCTACCCGAAACGTTTGACCCAAGTTAAACAATTTAAAGGCAATGCTACCAAATACTAATTGAGTGTATGTAAACTTCTGACCCACAGGGAATGTGATGAAATAAATAAAAGCTGAAATAAATCATTCTCTCTACTATTATTCTGACATTTCACATTCTTAAAATAAAGTGGTGATCCTAACTGACCTAAGACAGGGACTTTTTACTAGGATTAAATGTCAGGAATTGTGAAAAACTGAGTTTAAATGTATTTGGCTAAGGTGTATGTAAACTTCTGACTTCAATTGGATATATACTGAACAAAAATATAAATGGTCCCATGTTTCATGAGCTGAAAAAAAGAAATCCCAGACATTTTCCACACGCACAAAAAGCTTATTTCTCTCAAATGTTGTGCATAAATTTGTTTACATCCCTGTTGGTGAGCATTTCTCCTCTGCCAAGATAATCCTTCCACCTGACAGGTGTGGCATATCAAGAAGCTGATTAAACAGCATGATCAAGTATTTCTGTCTGTAATAAAGCCCTTTTGTGGGAAAAAAAAACGCATTCTGATTGGCTGGGCCTGGCTCCCCAGTGGGTGGGCCTGGCTGCCAAGTGGGTGGGCCTATGCCCTCCCGGGCCCACCCATGGCTGCACCCCTGCCCAGTCATGTGAAATCCATAGATTAGGCCTAATGAATTCATTTCAATTGACTGATTTCCTTATATGAACTGTAACTCAGTAAAATCTTTGAAATTGTTGCATGTTGCGTTTATATTTTTGTTCAGTATATATATTCAGTACTGTATGCACACATGAGCCTCATTGTAAATTATTTAATGTTTCTGACTGTGTGAATCACCTTGATGTGCTCCTCAGTGGTGCCTCTCTGTGTGATACTGAGTTGTGTGTCTTCACAGGGCTGCTCCATGACCACTTTGGGGATTACCACATGGCCTTCTATCTGGCTGGGGTTCCTCCCATGGTCGGAGGTGTCCTGCTCTTATTTGTCCCATGTGTTCATCAACGCCTGCTGAAGGGCCAGCAAGAAACCCTCCCCAGACCCAGCCCTGACCTCCAGCTATCCCCTCCTGGCTTTGACCACCAGTCCTTTCCCATTCCTGGTCACCAGCTGCCCCCAACCACCCCTGACCTTCAGCTATCCCCTCCTGGCTCTGACCACCAGCCCCTCCCATCCCTGGTCACCAGCTCCCCCCAACTAGCACTGACCACCAGTCCCCTCCAATCCCTGGTCACCACCATCAGCTGCCACAACCCAAGGATGTTGCCAACAGTAACCAAGTGAGAGGCCACTGCGGTGAAGACACTGTGACAAGTCAGAGATCCCATGTAAAATGTAAGATGTATAATAAGTGAATTAATGGATTTCTTGTCCCATGATATTCCAAGGGACTTTCGTTATAAACATCTTTAAACTACCAGTCTAAAGTCATTGAATTCTGAATAAGCTTTGTACTCTATGACCTATAGCTGATTTGCATATATAATTTTCTAACATTGTTGGCTTTAGGGCAGGGGCAGTCACTAATATTTCTGAGGAAGCCACTTCTGTGAAACAACCTCACCGAACGAGCTGCCATACCCATCGGGAGTTCGGGGGGTCACAAAGTCAAATTGATTCATGCATGATATCAAATGGATTCACACATTATATTTAAGATACTATTAACATGGACCATCAAGCTATTTTATTCTCTATCTTAGGACACTTGGGGGTATCAGAAACAAATGTGTAAAAAATAATTTAATGAATCTATTAAATATGGCCTTTTGCCATTATCTCAATAAAGGTAATGGCACAAAAATACTATATGTCAAATCAGGTAGTGCCAAATTTCAGTCTGAAGGAAGTATATTCTTTGAAGCGATTGAAATGCATCAGTGTGGTCCTCTGTAGTTCAGTTGGTAGAGCATACGTGCTTGCAATACCAGGATAGTGGGTTCAATTCCAGAGTTCATGAGAGTCTTAGCTTTCAGTAATTGGTTCTGCAACCGTTCAAAACCTAGAGCCATGGGGCGGCGCAGGGTAGGGGAGGAAATGGCCGGCAAGGATGAAAAAATAATAATGTAAGTCGCTCTGGATAAGAGCGTCTGCTAAATGACTAAATTAAATAAATAAATAAGAATATATTTTCTAGATGCTCTATATATATGCTTAGTATTTTCATTTATTTAGATCCAGCACATAAACACCCAGGTATTTTTCAAGGATGTGCTGTGCACTGTGTACTTTGATATCCTGCATGTGCTTTTCCCTGTGGATATATCTGTCCAGAATAGCACAGATTCATATGGGTAGATACTGAATGTTTCAATGATTCTAGTGTTATGGCGTCTGCATTGGAAGATACAAGTAATTGTGACATCATACAAGTAAACACATTCCATTCCATTTTATTTACAATCATCATATGAGGGAGGTAGTCTCTCATCCTGTTCTTATTTGCTATCAGTGTGTTTCTTTAGTTTTGAAATTCTGATGGATAATTATTAACCAATAGAGGGAGAAAGATACAGGCTATATGAGGGTATGTGTGATCTAGATCAAATGTAGCGGCATGGATCTGTTTAAGTGGCCCTTCACTAACACATGGATGTGACTGAGGAACAGACAGTAGTGGACCAACAAACATCTGGACCTCTGTTAGACTCGCATACGCCACGCATACTGGCACTATTCCAGGAGGCACCCTGTCCTCAAGACACCTCAGGCATGAGTACCAGTGGTAACAGGTATGCAACAGCGTCCCAGTGGTTTGCTTCAGACATCTTCATCATCTTTGTGGTGGTTCTGTTCCTCGTCCTCCTGGTGCTGGGAGCAGTGTGCTGCTGGGTCGTCAGACACAACAGAACCCAGAGGAGTACAGCAGAGTAAGAGAGGATCAAAGTCTGGTAGCTATAGGGTCACAATGACGAAGAGGCATTTTTTCATATGTGAGCATGCATATAGGTTAACAAAGTCTGTCTGACGTTTTGCAGGAAATTGACTGAAATAGAGATAATCTCAGCAGGTGATGGACCAGAGAGAGAAACCCAGGCCAAATTCACCCTGAAGATCAGGACTGATCAGAGTCATGCCACTCAGCTGGTGGAGATGCTTGTGGGGCGCGTCTCTCGATTGGAGGGTGCTGTCCCAAATTCCCCACTGGCACCCCCTACTTCAGTCACATTAACCGCTGTGGTGTCACCCACTGATAGGATGGCATCCCCTGCACCTGCACCACTTCCTGTACCCACTGAGAACATGCCCAACAACCAGAGTGCGTCCCAGCCCACACTCCAGACACCTGTGCCCATGCCCAAGACAACAAGTCCCCATCCATACTACCTCAACGCTCCCAACAGACCACTACCCTCTGAGTTTTGTGTCACAGATGAGGGGGAGGAAGATGAAGATGAAGATGAGGATGAGGATGATGCTTCTGAGTATTCCAGCATCACCAATTAACCTGATTCATCTTGAGAGGGCAGTCTCAGACCCAAATAAAACGAAAGACCATAATCCCATTATATATTAAAGTAAAATAAAGAACTCTCACTTCAAATTAATCTGAGGAATAGGGTGATGCATTGATTCTTTTGGATATTGTAATATTATTAGGAAGATGGATTTAGGCTACCTCCTTGTAGCTTAGCTAATTGAAGTTGAAGTTTTAATAGAATACAAGCCATAGCCTACCATACATCAAGCACCTTGAATAATCATATTTTTTATATATACAGTATAGCTGGCACAGTCGCCTACTATTAGATGCGCTGTGGGACTGGAGACGCCACTTGCTTCCTGATCACCAGAGATGTCTGAGAGCTCCACAGCTCCGTTCAACCGTCCTCCCTGCCATGCAGTCAGTGTCCCCTGTCACCAAAGCCATATTCATAGCTCTGTTTCTCTTTGCCATCCTGCTCATCCTATACGTCATTCTCTGGTATATATGCTGAGACGCCGACAATGACTACATCTGAACAAGTGAAGGTCACTTATCGAAATGACCGAATTCCCAAGGTAAGAGAACAGCATTGGCCGAACTGCTATCATTCAAGCGGTGCTTGTTTATTACGCATCACAGAAATGGCATCTGTTGGACAGTGACATTTTGTCAAATTCCTTTTAATGTCTTTGATTTTCAGCCAACAAATAAATAAATGATCCAAACGATGCCACCAAATGATGCTACCAGACATTTTCCATTGTGTACTTAGCTTAGGCTACTTGTTGAATGACAGCTTAGGCTTTGTTGCATCTTCCAAATGTCATTGTACTGTAGCCTACTACCTACCAGATCAATTTGGTAAGCCAATCGTTTGACAGTCCCATATTAAGTTCATTATTTTGTATTGTATTGAATCTCTCTTTTATTCAGTCATTTTGAACGTGAACCATTCAGAAGGTCAAAACAGGACAGCAATAATAGGCTGTATGGGTTTATCCATAAAGGTGTACATTCCTGTATCAAAATATTGCCTCTGTTGTATTTCATCCCACTATGTAAAATGTAGGTAAGAAACAGCTACAGTTGAAGTCAGAAGTTTACATACACCTTAGACAAATACATTTCAACTCAGTTTTTCACAATTCCTGACATTTAATCCTAGTAAAAAGTCCCTGTCTTAGGTCAGTTAGGATCACCACTTTATTTTAAGAATGTGAAATGTCAGAATAATAGTAGAGAGAATGATTTATTTCAGCTTTTATTTCTTTCATCACATTCCCAGTGGGTCAGAAGTTTACATACACTCAATTAGTATTTGGTAGCATTGCCTTTAAATTGTTTTACTTGGGTCAAATGTTTCGGGTAGGTTTCCACAAGCTTCCCACAATAAGTTGGGTGAATTTTGGCCCATTCCTCCTGACAGAGCTAGTGTAACTGAGTAAGGTTTGTAGGCCTCCTTGCTCGCACACGCTTTTTCAGTTCTGCCCACAGATGTTCTATAGGATTGAGGTCAGGGCTTTGTGATGGCCACTCCAATACCTTGACTTTGTTGTCCTTAAGTCATTTTGCCACAACTTTGGAAGTATGCTTGGGGTCATTGTCCATTTGGAAGACCAATTTGCAACTGATGTCTTGAGATGTTGCTTCAGTATATCCACATGATTTTCCTTCCTCATGATGCCATCTATTTTCTGAAGTGCCTTTTTCCTCCAAACATAAGGATGGTTATTATGGCCAAACAGTTCTATTTTTGTTTCATCAGACCAGAGGACATTTCTCCAAAAAGTACAATCTTTGTCCCCATGTGCAGTTGCAAACCGTAGTCTGGCTTTTTAATGGCGGTTTTGGAGCAGTGGCTTCTTCCTTGCTGAGCGGCCTTTCAGGTTATGTCAATATAGGACTCGTTTTACTGTGGCTATAGATACTTTTGTACCTGTTTCCTCCAGTATCTTCACAAGGTCCTTTGCTGTTGCTCTGGGATTGGTTTGCACTTTTCGCACCAAAGTATGTTATCTCTAGGAGACAGAACGCGTCTCCTTTCTGAGTGGTATGACGGCTGCGTGGTCCCATGGTGTTTATACTTGCATACTATTGTTTGTACAGATGAACGTGGTACCTTCAGGCGTTTGGAAATTGCTCCCAAGGATGAACCCGACTTGTGTAGGTCTACAATTTATTTTCTGAGGTCTTGGCTGATTTCTTTTGATTTTCCCATGATGTCAAGCAAAGAGGCACTGAGTTTGAAGGTAGGTCTTGAAATGCATCCACAGGTACACCTCCAATTGGCTCAAATTATGTCAATTAGCCTATTAGAAGCTTCTAAAGCCATGACATAATTTTCTGGAATTTTCCAAGCTGTTTAAAGGCACAGTCAATTTAGTGTATGTAAACTTCTGACCCACTGGAATTGTGGTACAGTGAATTATTAGTGAAATAATCTGTCTGTAAACAATTGTTGGAAGAATTACTTGTGTCATGCACAAAGTAGATGTCCTAACCGACTTAACAAAACTATAGTTTGTTAGCAAGAAATTTGTGTAGTGGTTGAAAAACAAGTTTTAAAGTGTATGTTCTGAAAGAGCTGCAAAATCTGGACCCCTACAAATCATCTGGGCTAGACAATCTGGACCCTTTCTTTCTAAAACTAGCCGCCGAAATTGTCGCAACCCCTATTACTAGCCTGTTCAACCTCTCTTTCGTAACGTCTGAGATCCCCAGAGATTGGAAAGCTGCCACGGTCATCCCCCTCTTCAAAGGGGGTGACACTCTAGATCCAAACTGTTACAGACCCATATCCATCCTGCCCTGCCTTTCAAACGTTTTTGAAAGCCAAGTTAACAAACAGATCACCGAC